AGCACCCCCTTCTCGCCTGCCTCCGCAGAAGGGTGCCATTTGGTGTCTAAATAGCCGTCTCAGGCAGGCGAGGAGGCAGGTAAGGAGGTTTAATTAGAATTAGTGCCTCTCTCCTGGCAATCACGGTGTTTATGAAGATGGCCCGGCGGGCTTTGTTCCCCAGAGGACTTAATCGAAGCTTAATGGATTGACCTAACATTCGATTTCCTGACTTCCATTGAGGCGGCGGCAGCAGCATTCCCTTAAGCGTTTGCAATTTACCCACTGCTCCGCGCCAACAAAAGGCAGCCTGAATAGCAGCCCCACTCGAGGGGCCATTGTGCGCGGGGGCGCCTGCCTGAGTCACCGCTATTGGGACAACATTCTTTATGCCTCGCTGGAATGAAAGGATTATTCAAATATTCAATTAAACCGTGAAAAGGGGGCTTTGCTGAGAACCTGGGGGCCCCCAGCTCCGCAGAGCTAGCGGGCTGCTCTCCGAGGCGGGGGTGCCATCTCCCGGGCCCCTCCCGCCTCCACCACCAGGATTGCCGGGAGCTGAGCAGGCTCGGGGACCCACGCAGACTTTTCTCGAAGGTGCCCCTCTCCAAGCTGCGGCAGCTCAGCGCCAGAGCCGGGCACACAGATTGGATCCTGTTTGTGGGTGCCTTGGGAGGAGGAGGTTAATCGACCCCCATTTTGCAGACCATCGGGAAGCCGAGGCTCCGACAGGGGAAGGGACTTACTTGCCCAAGGTCACCGGCTGGAGGTGGAGGTGGGATTTGAACCCCTGACACATGAAGGGGCACCTCCAGGTTTGTGTGAGCCCTGCTCCTCCTCTGATGGGTGAAGGGCGTGGTGTTCTGTAGGATGTTACCTCTGTTACACCCGTTACCCCACCGTCTTCACACAGTCCTGTTTGCGGGGGGTGCTGGGAGGCTGGGAGAAGGGGCGGGACTGGACCGTGGTCTCCTCCAAGGTGAGGGCCACAAAGTTGAGTCTGGAGCCTAGAGTAGCCTCCCTGGGGAGACCTGGGAGCCCAGGTGGGAGGTCTTGGATGGGACTCCTGGATTGGATGAAACGTAAAGTTAACCATGTCCAGTCTTCCAGGAACCAAGACCCAGCTTGCTCCCATCCCTGCTCACTCTTAGGGCTTTGGAGCCAGAGAGACGTGGTTCTGAATGCAGACTCTGCATCTACTCCGTGTCCCAGGCACACTCCACTGTCCCTACACCAGGGGGTGCCCTTTCCTGCCTGCCTGAGTGTCTGTGGGGATTAACTGAGCTGGGAGCAAGGTGTCTGGTGGGTGCCCAGCAAAGAGCCGCGGGACCCTCGGCGCTGCTGGGAGGGGCTGTCCCCGAAGGCGTGCTTGTCCTGCACCAGCCCTGCCCTCCGCCCTGCTGTCCCTGGTGCAGGGCTGCTGAGAACAGTAAATCCGGGAAAAGCCAGGCTGGTCCTCCTGCCCCCTCCCCCACCTGCCTCTACTGCAGCATCCCAGCCAGTCTCCCCCTCCTGCCCCCCTCAGCTACTTCCTCTGGCCCCTCTACTGCTGTGTGGCCTTGAGCTGGTCCCTACCCTTCCCTGGACCCCCAGCCCACGATGAATTGTCAGAAGACAATGTCAGGAGAATTGCCCAGCCTGGGGGATGGTGGCTGTGAAGGAGAGGGGACAGTATTAAGATGGAAAAAGGCTGCAATAGGGATGGAACTTTTTGGGGTTGGAAGGGAGGGGGAGGGGGGGGGGGGGGAGGGGGGGGCTTCCCATGACCTTTGAGTGCGTCCGTCCAGAGCAGGCCAAGCTAAGGAGCAGGGCTGCCGTGCCGGTTGCTCACTGCAAGGGCACCCGGGCAGGGAGCAAGCAGGGGCTGGCATCCAGCTTGTGTGCCCCCCGCCCGGCTGTTTCTTGGACAAGGGGGAACTTCTGTCCAAGTGGCACGAGGTGCCGTACGGACTGGAGGCGACCCGGGGAGGCCAGGAAGAAGATGACCCTGGCTTCCTTACCGAAGGGAGGTGAGGGGGCTGGGAGCGGGGGTGGAGGATTGGGGCCAGGTCCTGCCATACGCCCTGGGCCCAGCTCGTGTTTCCCTAAATCCAACTTTGGACAACACAGGCCTCCGCGGGCACACTGGGGGCGGCCGGGGATCAGGGTTGCCAGGAGCCCCAGCTCTCCTGGCGCAGTGGGTGTTAAGAGGGATTAGAAGGGCCAAGGGCTGCACACACCGCCCGCAGGGGTAGGGCTGGGGCTGAGGAGGTGGAGGGGATGTGGACAGACAGACGGCCATTTTCTGAGCCTCTGGATGCCACATCCCAGGCGAGTCCCTGCTAGGATTTGGAGGTGAGGGACCAGTTCTGTGGATTCCTGCTGACCCTCAGCCTCCAGGCAAGGCACCAGCCTGAGACGCTGCCTGGGAGCTGAATGACACCCGCAAGCCGTGATGAGGGCTCAGGCGACAGGAAACTGACCCTCGCCTGGCACTCCTGGGGGCCGGGTACCTGTGCAGGCCTCTGCACCCACGCTCTTGCCCCTGCCAGGTAGGCGCGGCCCCTTTCAGAGGAAGAAGGCCTTGGCCAGAGCAGAGCCAGCGCCCTCGGCTTCCTGCCATGGGCATCGTTCCTTCCCGTGTAGCTCGGGGCCTCTTGTTTGTCCCTGTTCTTACATAACCTGCCTGCTTTGTGCACACGCTTCTAATTTATGTAGAGATCTTTGCCTTATAGACCTCATTCTGCATCTACCTGGTCTGTTTTTTTCCACTCAGCCTCCTGCTTGTAAAGACTCATCTATTTTCTCTGTGTTATCTGCTCCATCACTACTACCTACAGGCCACCTCCCCGTCACCATGAATACCGCTACAGTGGGCATCATGGCCCCGGGGCCCATGGGAGAATCCCCTGGTGGCACTGGAGCCTCTGGATGGTCAGCGGGTGGACCCAAGGAGCCCGGGTCACCCTCTAGAATGGGGCCGCTAGTGCACACGCCTCGCAGCTATGAGGTGGGACCCTCCCACTCACACTGGTCCTCCCTGGTGCTGGGGACAGTGATGACTGTGGCCAGGAGGCGATGCTGTGGTGACCACCCTGGGGATGATGGCGACGGCATGGCTTTGACCTCGGGGATGGGAACGGTGATGATCATGGCTGTGGTGAGAGTTGGGATAATAATAGTTGGCCCAACTGACATATTGGGCCGCATTACATGTCAGACACTGTTTCCTAAACACCTCCCACGAATCAACTCCCTGAAGCCTCCCGACCGTCTTGTAAAATAGGTGTTATTGTCACTGCCCGTTTCACAGATGAGGAACTTGAGAGGTTAAATAATAAGGCCAGGGATACGCCGGTGAGGTGGGTGACGGTCTTGGTGAGGACGGAGGTGTTTGTCATGACCACTGTGATGACAGGGCAGTCCTGACGGTGGCAGGTGCTGGTGGTTGGGCGGTTGAGGGTGTGTTTGTAATAACCAGAGGGATGTTGGTGCTGGTGACTGCGGGTGGCGGCGGTGCTCGACTGTAACTGTGGCGATGGTGGCGATGGTGGTGATGGGGATGATCAGTGTTTGGCTGATGATGGCAGCAGTGGCCATGCTTGGGGATGTCACTGTTGGCGATGGATGATGGTGGCAGAGTTCATCACCCACGGCGGTGACGGTGGAGTTGGGGATGTGGTGGTGATGGGGAAACTGCTCGTCTGGTTGATGATGATGGTGGCAGAGCCTAGGTCTTTGGTGATCGTAGGGCTGTTGGGGCCGGTGACGCAGCGACGGCTGCTGACGTGATGGCGGTGGTGCTGATGGGCTCCTCCCTTTGCAGATGTGAAGTTCCTGAACAACCACAGCCTGGTGAAGGATGCTCAGGAGAAGGCCAACGCCGCCCTGCTGGATTACACCCTGTGCCACTACCCGCACTGCGGGGACAAGTTCCAGCAGCTGCTGTTGTGCTTGGTGGAGGTTCGGGCACTGAGCATGCAGGCCAAGGAGTACCTGTACCACAAGCACCTAGGCAACGAGATGCCCCGCAACAACCTGCTCATCGAGATGCTGCAAGCCAAGCAGACTTGAGCCTGGGCCGGGCGGGGCCAGGACCTGGACCGGGGCTGGGGGAGGGGTCACGGCCACCCCCTCAGCCCTCCAAATGGTTTATTTTATTATGCTGACCCAGGAGCCCCACCCTGTAGGCCGATGCCCCCTGAGCTCTCTGAAGCCCTGTGTTTGGGAAATGAGTGAGGGTGGGCAGCGCCTGGCCAAGGTGGGTGGCCCCCGCTAGCCACTGGCACTTGCCTGACACTCAAGTGCCCCCAGGCGGTGGCTGCTAGCCACCCTCTTCCCCTCCTCCTGCTCCTGCTCCCAGTTGTCTGTCCTGGAGCCTGGAGCACAGGTCCGGGGAGGAGGTTTGGGAATCCCTGGTGGGCCTGGATGTCCCTTGGGTCAGAGCTCATCCCTTCCCCTGTCCTGGAAACAGAAGCAGAAAGAGGTTGAGTGTCATCAACTGGGGGAGAGGGGTTCTCCAGAACCCACTCCAAGGGAGGGAAGCCCTCTGTTTTGTAAACTGGGGATAACAGTTTGCAAAATCGAACAGGGATTAGAGGACATTGGGAGATGGTGAGGACAGAGAGACCTCCTCCTCAGCCCTCTACCCCCTCTGACTCCTGCTGGGGAGAGCGTTGACATGTTATCTGAAAAGAATTTTGCTACAATCATCTTTCTCTCCCTCTCTCACCGGAGAAGTTCGGCACAATCAGCAGTCTAGCCCTGCCCACAGCTGGCCCGCCCAGGCTGGTATTTATCTGCACGGCTGCCAGGCGGTAGGCAAGAGGTTTTCTGTTTTGTTTGTTTTTGAATCGAGATACTCCTTGCAAGGTGTGTATGGATAGGGGGCAGATTGGAGGACTGAGGCTGGGGTCTGGGGCCAGCACCAAGTATAGCCCATGGTTCCTCCCCACACACCCTCGTACGAAGGACCCCACCGGTGGTGCTGGGCCATTGTTTCTGGGACCCCACTCCAATCCAGAGGAGAGCTGTCCCTTGCCCCTCACCCCGTCCGATGAACATCAGGGTGCCCTGTGGGGCTCAGGGTCTCTGTGGGTGGGAATACAGGTGGCCTTGGGGAGGGTGCATGGATCTCCAGATCAGGGACATGGTGGAGAAGCCCTTCCTGGTTGGCCCTGTCCCATTAGGTCCCTTGCTGCAAACCCTCGAAGCTGGACCCCAACTCCCTGGCCTCCTGCCCTATGTCCTGAAAGACACTGAGGCACTAGGGAGAGGCCTCAGCTGTCCTCTGTCCTGGGCTGGGCTCCCACCCGTCCTGCTTTCACGTCGCCATTGCAGCTTGCGCTGAGCCTGCCCAGGGACTGGGCTCCCCTGCCCCCTGCCTTCCTGTCTCAGTCCCCACCCCTGCCCACTGAAGCGTGTGCCCCTGCCAAGGCCAGACACCCACAGCCCCAAACGAGAAGTGCCCTTAAGAACCCCAGCCCCCGTAGTCCTGGAATAAATTTTGCAATTAGTTTCCAGCTACCGTTGGCTATTTCCGTTGTGGGGCAAAGCAGAGCCTCCTGTGTGGGCTTGGGTGGTCTAAGGTGGGGCCCTGCTCTGCCTGGGATGGAGGTGACACTCAGATAACCTTTGGTTCAAAACTCTGGGCAGGCAGGATAGGGGGTGGGGGAATATCAGGCCCTGTCGGGGGCTTTGGGCCCCATCTCATCCCTGGGATCCTGCCATGTCTGGGAGATGCGGGAGCCTTTGGGGCTCAGCCTTCATTCCATCCTGGCCGTGCAGCTCGGCCACCCTCTTGGGCGGAGGGAAGCAAGCATTTAATGAGCACCTACTGTCCCTGCAGTGGCCCAGTGAGACAGCAGTTACAATCCAGGAGGGTGCCCCTCCGTCAGTGACCTGCAGGGACAGTCAAACCTGGGTCCACTTGACTGGAGAGCACTGGCCGGGTCCGCTCTGTCCACCTGGTGGCCAGCCACAGGCCCGCGGCCTGGTTCTCTCGCGATTCCCTTGCCTCCCCCTCCCCAGCCACTTGGTGGCAGCAGTGAGCACTGCCGACAACTGAGGCTTCCTCTGCTCCAGGTGCCTTCCCAGGGCTTTGCCGGCTTCGTCAGTCTTGTCTCGTCTGTTCTCCAGAGCCCGCTATGGGCACAGAGGGGAGAAGCGGCCTGCCCAAGGCCACACACTGAGAAGGGGCAGGGCCTTCATGCAAACCTTGACGCTGCTTGACCAACCTGGTTTGTCCCCAGGGCCACTCCTGATCCTGCCTCTGTGCAAATCCAGAAAAGGCGCCCCCTCTAGGGCAAGGTGGCCCGAGGCACATAGCCTGGCAGCGGCTTTTATGCAAAGACGAAACATCCCTTTCCCTCTTGGCACCTTCTGAAGTGGAGCAGATGCCTGGTTCCTGCCCCCGCGGAATGTCCACTTTTGTAGGAGACTTACTCAGATCATAATCCAATGTGACACATCATGTGACTGAGTCAGACAAGATGAGAAGTGA